CCATAAATATACTTAATGTTAATTTGTGACCTTGTCCATTTTCTTCACTTGACTCAAAAAGTAGCTGCAGTCCAAGACAAATGCCTAGGAATGGGCGATCTTGCTCAATGTAAGCACAAAGTGCTTCAGCCATTCTGCAGAACAATTATCCCCATAATTTTCAGCAAAGCCAAAAAATAATAATATGGAGTGAGAAAATAAAACAGAAGAACAAAATAGAGATGCATGAACTTTCTGTAGACATGTTCTTATCGCTGCAAAAGCTTTAACCAAAATAAATTAGTACTATGTATTTTTAACTGGTTCGTCAAATATGGTGTTGGTGTGTCTTTATTAGTACTTTTTTTGCAGAAAAAGCCGTAAATACAAAATACTGGTTGATCAATCTCAATCAAATACTATCTTTTTACATGTATATGAAGCAAGAGGTTGTATTGTCCCAAAAGCCAGAACCATGCTTAAGTTTTAAATTTCTCATATGGCGATACAGTAATTTAAATGTTTATTTACAATGAGAAGTACAGAAAAAATAAACAGTTCCATCCCTATGTGTAGTATGGATGAAAACCATACCCCTTCTTGTTTAGCACATCCATGGCAGGAGCAAAAGCACCAACCCCAGGAAAAATGAGTCGTTTTGCTTTCAAAATGTCCTGTGGTGTTTGGACCTGGAAGACGTTGAAAAAGAAAAGGTATGCAAAGAGCTTAATCAAAATGAAAAAGGTACGGAAAGAGAGTAGAGAAGAGTAGAAAAAAACTGAAAATGCATGCATACTTTCTCCATTTTGGCTTTGGCACGCTCATGTAATAAACTTTTCACACCTCCCCACAATAATTAAACATAAATTATTCCATGATTCATAAGTTAAAGCACAGAGATTGAGGTGCATGGATATACTCAAATTCTCGAAGTACATACACGCTTAAGGTTCATATGACAAAGAGCAAATTCTCGAAATACAAACACTTAAAGGTTGATATGACAAAAAGAAAATAATATATGAAGGGCAAAAAAAACTGAAAATCCATTCAGTTGTTGCTCACCAAGACACTGGGAAACAACAAGCCACGGTAATTTCAGTTCCACTACTTTATAAGAGTGCAAACTTCATTTGTATGAACATAAGAGTAACACTGAACTAAGTAAATGATGTGCATAAGGAAAACTAATTTGGTGCGATGAATACATAATACGTTCATCTTTGACTTGCATTTCTCTTAATTTCCTACAAATACACCTCAATTTTAAATACTCAAATTAGAAATAAAAGCCACAACAGCAAAAGCAGAGAAAGTACATCTTTGATGTCGAAACCGAGATATTTAATTGCATTCCTGACACTCCGCACATTGCCAGCACCATAATCAAGTAGAGTTACCACTGCAAAACAATTATAGCAACAAGCATTACAGTCTCGTAAGCTGCTTATCATCAAATTAAGCCATCATTTCACATATAATTAACAGTGTTCAAGTGTTTCTGCTCATTGATTTATAGTACTCAACATACCAGAATCATCGGCACTGGTGGCGGAAGCGCGGGCTGAGAAGCTTCTGGAAGATTTGTAGTTCAGAGGTTTCGCATTAGGCTTGTAACGCAGGAAACGAAGAGATTGAGAAGTGGAGGAATAAGATGAAAACGGTGTCGTCGTTGATGAAGCAGAAGTGAAACTGGCCGCCTCCATTTTCTCTTCTTCGAGCTTTCTGGTTCATCAGTGTAATAAAAGTATTGTGTTAATTTAGCTGGAATTCAAAGAATGGCTATTTTTTAAAACTTGACGGAACCAAAAATGAAAAGGTTCTAATTGGTAATGGATTTTGAGTCCATATTGAGAAACTTATTGATTTGGGCCTTGAGCCCATGTTTTAGAAGGCCTTGAGTGGTATTTTGTGCCTACTTGGAATATTTTTAAGAAAATGACTAGGGCTGGGCATAAACACCGAAAAATTGAAACATCGAATCGAACTGAACTTTTTTGATATTTTGGTTTTGATTTTTGATTCGGTAATCGGTATACGTTTTTGTATTTTTTGGTATTCCATTCGATTTTCTGTATGTAAATTTGTGTTATTCGGTATTTTGATTTACCAAAATATATTATATTATAATATGTATTTATATTATATTAATTATTAATGTTAATAAATATTATAATTTAAAATAAAAAATAAAAAAGTAAAAGACACTTTTTGATGTAACTATTTTTAGCCCATTAAGCTGAAAAATCAAAAATAAATTATAAATTTTTAAATTTTAAAAAGTCCACTAAGCAGGCCTATTAAAAAACTGAAATAACAAAATCGAATTGAACCGAAATAATTCGATTCGGTATTCGTACACGTCGTACAAGAACCGAAAACCTAAAAAATTGAAATTGAACCAAATTACCGAATGCTCACCCCTAAAAATGACAACTTTAATTTGGCCTCAACTAACACCTCAACTTTGAACGACGTGGACAGGTAGACACTTAAACTTATATAAACTTGAACATGTACAGACTCATACATGACATAATATGTATCAGTTTGAGTGTTGTCACGCGAAATGTCATGTAGAATGTATGTTTCTACTTGTGCACACTCAAAGATAGAACACATAAATGTTAACTAAAGTCAAATTAAAGAGCACGTTTGTTGCTTCTTTCAAATTTTATGTGCTAATTCTTGAATGTCACATTATTATGTCGTTGACTTTGAATGTGTTACTTGAATCAATGATTTATAGGAAATAACATTATTACCTTCATGAGATATGGACAAAGTTAGAGTACAAATCATCTTTCTGAAATCTTCGATAGTGTGATTATATTGAATATGTGCAATGTTGTTACGATTCTTGAAAGTCATTATAATATTATATGAACGTCACTTTCTATGATATTTTAGATGAATCGAGTAATATAAAAAACAATGATTTTATATAAAAAATGATTTATTAAATTTAATGTAATAAAATACAATTTGAGTTATTATTCATTAAAGTTGAACCAAGTAAGAATTTGAAATCGAAAGCTCCAAGCTATCAAATGTGATTGGTTGGATATTCATGGTGGTTGATTTTCAAGAACTATTTTGATTGTCAAAAATGTTGGCCAAGTATTTTTCTTTCAAATATTCTGTAAAAAAAATATTTTAACATAAAAAGTATATTCACAAGTACAATACCCCAAACAACTTTTTTTAAAAAAAATTATTATAGAAAAGGTAGCATCACGATTCACTCCTAAGGATACAAATAAAAGTAGTTCATGATTAGAAGAATATAGAATAATATAAAATAAAATGAAAAGAGGAATATAGTCAAAATACAAATGGATAGGAAAAAATATGATAATTGAAAGAGGGTATAATCCTTACATATACTAGGTGAAGTCATTGCTTTAGTCAGGATTATGACATTAATTTATATGCTTTATTTTTCATGACCCAAGAAGAAAAAAGGGGGGGGGGGGATTTATTTGAATATTTTGGTACTATGTAGCATATTCTTTATAATTCCAATCTATAATCATGGGAATATGGTGACAAATTTCATGTTGTTGTTATAATTCAGCAAAGTATTGTTAATTTCCAAGACTGATCATGGTTATTGTTTAATAGTCAAGGCTAGTGGGTGACAAAATCAATGCATTTTAATTTATCTAAATTTTAATTTTTATTGAACGAATTTAACTCGAAATAACTTATCAAATATTAATCAAAATAAGTCAAGTTGCAATTTTAAACCAAACACACAAAATCAAATTTAGAAATTAGAAAGTTAAAAAAAGAAAAAAAGTTTCAATTATTTATTCAAAAAGGAAAATAAAAAGGAGGGAGATAGTGTGTTGTGACTTGTGACCCGTTATTTGATCCATTAAGCAAATTTTAATAGATCAATTTATGACCTTTTAATAAATTCTATCTAGCATAAATCTAAACATAATTCATCCATTTGACACACGTCTAATATACATAATAGAATGATGCGAAATTGAAATTGTACTAAACAAATATTTTCTTTTCAAAATTTAAAATTTATAAATTCAAAATTCTCGATTGATACATAATGATTTGATACGTTACTTGCCTCTGTATTATTTCTATTTGGTCGGTTTGTAGATAAGAAGTAGTACGTCCACAACAATATGGAGCTTGACATAACCACCCCACTAGTATGGCTTGTGGACCAACACTAATTGCACCATTTGGAAAAAGTCAAGTGTTCTTTGCCTCTTCAAAGTATGAAATAATTGTTTGGCAAATTGAGTAAAACTTAATAAACCAACCCCTATTCTTCCAAACTCCAAAAGACAAAAAAAAAAGAAAAATTAATGTTGCCTAATTCAAAGTGAATTTCAATGAGTTTACTATATAGTCTACGGAAGAAAATATAACTTTAATTTCTCCGTTGGCCTCATTTTTTTAATTTTTATTTTAGTTCATTTGAATTACAAATGTCTAAATTGATAATTTATACGTATTAAACAGATCTCGTGAGATAACTACATAAGTTACTAAGTTCGGTCTGTTCCTGCATGTGTGCAACACTTATATTAAAAGTTTCAATCGATTAATTTGGATGTACAACACGAAAGTATGCGCAAAGTTGCTTTGATAGCTACATGTTTCAATAGAAGTCAATTGTCTTCGCTCAAATATATTTATGTTAAAATTTCTTCTAATACACATAAAATACAGAACCTAACCAGCAAAACTAATCATGATCCGAAACACATGAACTAAATTTATTTATTTATGTTTTGCTTCCACTTTCTTTATATATGTTAATTAAATTTTGAGTATAATTACAAGCAAAATTTACTAGATATCATCGAATCTTTGATTTTAACACTGACTTCATTCCTTTGTGTATAACGCATAAAAAGAAAAACGTCTATATTATAATTTTTTCTTATACATATAATTATAATTCAAGACTTCTGATTAAGCGTGGAAGAACGATCTTATTCAATTCATCATTACACTTGGTGGTCCGTTGACTTCATTTCATATCTCTAATAAACACCTAATCTATTCAAAATAAAGAAGGTTTCAAAATGCTATGGCCCAATAGAAGAAAAACGATATAATTTTCCCCGTTGACCTCATAAGTTGCGCCCATTCACCTAATCTTATTCAAACTTTTAGAATGCTCCAAATACAATGGCCAAAAATTACTTGACTATACTTTTCCTCCAAAAAGTCCATTGTGTTCACACTCAACAGAACAATTACTACTTCAAAAAAAAAAGTCCACGCACACTGTTTCATGTTTAGAAAAGTAGAACTCATATGGTGATGTAATATCTGCTTTTTTCGTCAACGATTTATATTATTGATTTCAAATTCAGATAAAGAACAAAAGTTAGCAAGATAATTTTTTATAATATTATAGAGAACATATTTAGTGTATAATAGTGAATAGTATCGAGTGGTTTTACTTAACTTAGAAAAAGGCTAAAAAGTTAAAAATAAAGTTAAGAGACTTATAAAATATCTTTACACGACATGTACATGTAATTAAATCTAATTAATTCTAGCCTTGTGATTTACAATATTTTTCCATGTCACAAAGACACAAAGTGACAAAACTAGTACTTACTGGCATTTATCCGTTTGCCTTGTTAATGATAAATTACAATTGAGTATAATCCTACCAGTCGAGTCTACAGACTGGTTACATATTACACAAATCTTATTTCTGTCTCGTGTGGATATAGAGATTATTTTTAAAAAATTATTGAATTTAAAAAGAAGAAATATGACAACTAACGTCAAATGAGAAAATGAATACATAATTGGACCAAAAAATTTCAATCTTTTCATTTCAGAATCATTGAATTCAGATACAAAAACATCTCCAACAATCTCAGGAGAAATAATCAAATTTATACTACTATTAACCGTATGAAAAATGCTAATAATCTCATAGTTAATGCAATCAACTAAAAGAGCTTCTAAGTTCAGTGAGTCCACAATCTCATCTTCAGGAAAAATTATTGACACTGATGTATCCATATCCAACAATTCTCCAAAATCATCGATCATCTCGCAGTTTTGCTCTGAAATTATCGATTTTTCTTCTGTTTCGTTGCTTCTAACTGTCACCCAATCTTCATCCTCAATCCAATTAGGCATCAAAGAGCATGATATTCCCTCAGTACCAATCAATTGTCTGATCCTATCTGCAGCAGAATCAATGGTGTTGGTTGACTCGAATGAAGACGATTCCATCACCTCGAACGAATTCCAAAACCCCTGATCCAAAATGCTTGTAGGAGAATCCCTCTTCAATTCTTCAAATTTCCATGAATTTGTCTCTACAGATTGCAAAAACGGATGTTGAAGAAGTTGTTTAGCAGTCCAACGCTGGTTCGGGCATTTCATCAAGCATTTACCGAGAAATTCTGTGGCATCCTTTGACATATTGTTTGGGAATTGTGGCATATCCCCTGAATAACCAATTCTATACAGAGCAGAAACAGGATCATTGATCTCACACCAAGGAACTAATCCTGTAGCCATCTCAATAATTGTACAACCAAAAGCCCAAATATCAGCCGCAAATCCTTGTTCTTCGCTTCGAGCAACTTCAGGTGCCATAAAAGCCGGTGTACCGGAAAATCCAGAATTTTTTCCATCTTTCATCAATTTCGCACATCCCAAATCAGCAATTTTAACATTCCCATTTTCACAAATCAAAATGTTCTGCCCTTTCACATCACAATGCACAATCCCAATGGAGTGAAGATAATCCAATCCCTGTAAGATTTGTTGAGCGTATAATTTGATCATACATTCATTCAACGAACCTCCTTGTCTCTTAATCAAATCAGAAAGAGTTCCACCTTGTACATACTCCATAAACATATTATAAACTTGTTCATTTTGTTCAAAACCGAAGCACTTAACTAAAAACGGGGAATTCAACTGAGAAACAAGAGAATACTCTCTTTGCAAACAAGATTGTTCAGTAGATTTAACAGCAAAGACTACTCCAGAAGAATCGGTAGCGAGTGAAACAGTGGCCGAAGAGCCACGGCCAATTATCGGACCACGAATCCACTCCATTGAATCGATTGACTCAGCTCAATTGATACTTTGATAGTATAGAAAAATGGAAGAGAAGTTTAGGTATATGAACTCAACTTTAGGCAAATTTGTTATATATAATGAAAGAAAAGTATATGCTTTGTGGTGATATTTATATGGTGGAAAATATTTTGCCTACAAATGCAGCTAAGTAGTTAATGGCTATTGAGTGGAGTTGGGGTCTTTTATAAGTAGGTGAAGTGTACAAAGAATCTTCATTGTATTTGAACCAATGACAGCAATGTATTTGCTTTTGTGTACTTTTCACTATAAAAGTCTTTTCCTTCTTTTGTAACCGGAAGATTAGAGTATAAATTTAAAATTTATGAATTTCACATAATTATCAGAATAATATGCACGTTTATTAAAATTATTGAATTCAGTCGAGTTTACAAGCTTTACGCCTTGCGTGTAGCATCTAAGGATATAGTAACGAAACAAATTAAAAATCATAAAATTTCTAGTTATTTTCAAGCGAAGATAAAAGATTTTTTTATAGTATTTCTTTTTTTATTTCAATTTATAACGTTCAGTTTAATTTTTAGTTAGTTGTCAAAAGAATAAATTTGATTTTAAAATTCGCATTTTATCCTAGTGAAATGATTTATAATTAAAATTAAAAGTTTTTTTTTAGATTATGTAGCAAATCAAACTACATCATATCAATTAAAATAAAGCAATTAAATAATTTTTTTGACACATATAAGTGATGATTAATACAATTACTCTTTATCTACATATCAATTAAAAACAATAAATATTGATAAAATTAATCAAAATACATTCAAATTATCGGTATAAAATTTCCTGCCTTTGTAATTTTGCCTCTTCATTCTTAGTTAGAGGCAAGAAAAAAACTAAGTGAAGAGTGAACCACGTGTTGGAAGGAAGAACAGTTGACAGCTTTGGCCGACTGCGGACTGCTGAGCGACGTTAGCTATAATATGAATTGTGGTTCATTAGTGAGAGTATTCTAATTCTTAATTAGAAGTTTTGAGTTTGAATTTCTGAATATGAAAAAAATTATATTTGAAATATTATTTTAAGTTGTCTCTATAATATGCAATTGGGATTTAATCAAAGCTTTAATTTGAACCTCAGACGTCGAAAAATTAAAAAAAAAGGCGTCCACGTGAAGACACGTATCACCGCTATCGTAAAATCATATTTCTCTGCTTTCCACTTCACATTGCGGCGCGTTTTACTGTTTGCGCAAGGGACCGCGCTTTTAAATCTTTACCGAGTAAAGTCCTATACTAATTAATATGGGGAGCCTTTAACTTTATTTTATTCTATGTGAAAGCTATTATTAGTTCAAAAGAGTTAAATAACTAATAATTACTTTCCGTCCCTTCTGTTTTATATTATAAGTCATTTTTTTTATTTGTATTTATATTAAGAAATAAGATGATTTTATTTTTATGTCCTTATTTAATAGTTGCATATGTTTTAAGATTAGGCGAAGTAAATATGCTTCAAGATTAATTGATAGAGACATGATGAATAAAAATTATAGTACATAATTATTTTAATTATTTCTAATATTTTTAATATATTTATGTTTAATAATAACTTTGATTTTAAATGCTCGTTTTTCATTTATTGAAATAATTATAATCATAATACATAATTTTGGTTTTTCTCAAATCATTAATTTTAGTAAAAGGTTTTTTACAAAAAAATTATAGTAAGTTGAATTATATCGCATAAATTGTGATAAAAATAATAATTTTTAAATATTATTAGTTATATGGGATTGTAAATAGTTTTTAATATAATTTATAAATCTGTATATTTTTATATAATAGACATAAATAATAATATCTAAATTCACTTTAAGATAATTGTATTGACTTCTTGTACTTAAAATCTCTTCACATAATTAAGAAGAAAGAAATAGCTTGGCCAATTTTTCAAGAAGCAAAAGTTGAGATATTTGACAATATAAATATCTTTGAATAGTGGCAGAAGCTTGAAGAAGTAATTTCACTTTTTGTAAGTTTGGCAAAGTAAAATTGACTATTTTAATATTAATGAGGGTGTTTTTCCAATTAATCAAAATTCAAAATTACACTTTTTAGAAGTATTAGTTTTTTTTCAAAACATTTTTGACAAGATATATTTTTAAAAATTTAATCAAACAGATTATAAATCGAATTCGAAAAAGGTCAATTCAAGTCTAAGGAAGACTCAGCAAGTCTTTGCGCGATTGCAGTTTTTTCAATGTGCTTACAAATGTGAAACTAAGAATAAAATGGTATGTTCACATGATCAATATTTTATCATAGACTAAACAAACTTTTATTTAAAAGTTTAAAGTAAAACTAACTATGAAGTAAAGTCTTCATGAGAATTTTATTTTGTAATTAAATGTTAATACAAAGTCAATTCATCATATTTAATTCTAGGCCAAGTCTTGTGCATTCACATTACCGTCATAATGCCTTAAGCCTGCCGTCAATTTCGTAAAATGAACACACATTTCCCCTTCATTTTTCATGTTTTTACTTTTTTGTTAACTAGGGAAATATTGTGAGTAACTGATAAAATTATTGTTATGTAATGTGGTTTAATTTGTGAAAGCAATTTTTTATAGAAAAATTTGTGTATAATTTTCAAATTTTGATTCTCTCCTGAATCTCATGCATAACGAGAGTTTTAATACACTGAATTCATTATTTTCTTAATCATACTTTCTTCGTCCCATTTTACATGTCATCTTTCGAATTTCAAGAGTCAAACATTTTGAATCATCAACTATTATAATTCATGATACTTTTTACGTAATTTATAAATATATAAATTTTATTTTAAAAATTGAAAATTTCATATAGCAAATTTAAACTATTTAACTCTTAAAATATAAAATATGTCATATAAATTGAAACAAAGAAAATATAATTTAAGCCTTTAAAAACTATATTCTTATGGAACGAAGGACTCAACAGTCAACACGAAGACGGTCGAATTTTTAATTTCCAGTATGACTTGCCATATTTTTTATTTTCAATAAAATTCAATAAGAAACTAAATAAGAAGTGTTGGAGATTTAGCATTTTAATATTAAAAATGTTATATTAAAGGTTTTGACTTAGTTAGGATATATATATATATATATATTATTCAGTGTATGCTATTTAAATTAAGTTCGATTAAATTTGAATTCGTATGAAAAAAATTCTCATTTGAATAAAACACTCCCTAATTACAAAAACGAAATTAAAGAACACTTATCACCCTATCAAAACTCTTGTCGGGTGAATATACAAGTACCTTTTGCATATTAATAAACCTATAAATAAAGTTGAAGGGGTATATGATACATTTAATCTTACTAAAAAAAAATGCTAGCGTCATTGACGCATGAAAGTATAGCAGCTATACATTTAAATATTAAAAACCGTAGACTTCCTTTTTAATTCTTCAATTGTACATAAAATAAATTAGGAGAGGGACGATTTATATAATATAAAAATTAAAGTCAAACATATAAATGTATTATGTGTGTGATACTTAACGCAATCGCAAAATTATAAGTTTTGGTATAAAGTCAAAATTAAGCATCCATTTGATATTACGAGTGACAAAATATTTTTGTATATTAGAAAGAAGTACGAGTGTATATATTTATTAAATGATCATTGACCTATTGAAAATAAATGAACAAAATAAACTTACTTTCTTTTTTTTTATATAATATTTAAAAAATTATTTAATCTTTTGTTATTTCATCCGAACTGAAATTTATATATTTAATCACTTTGTAATGACATGACATATATTCTTTTAAGTATAAATAAATAAAAATATTAAACTGAATTTATTTTAATCAAAACAAAATTCTATTTCATTTGATCAAATACATGTTCTAATTTATTTATTACTTTTTTTTTGTATTTTTATCAAAAGTCCTTTAACTTTTATATTTTTGAAACCTATTTTTTCTAAACAAAATGTTTTCCAATCATGACCTACATTTCTATCACATTCGAGGAAGGGATGATAATTGTGATGAGCATATTTAATTTTTGGTCAAAAATATTGTATATCGTGTCTTATAAGTAGAGCTTAATTAGGGATTCATCTGAATCATCTATAACAAAAAGATTATAATATTTATATATGATATCGAATTTTCTTCTACTAGTTACAATATGTTCATTTTTTTAAATTTTAAATCTCAGTAAAATTTTTGACTTCGTCATTTCGAAGGATTAAATAGAGAAGTAAACGACATATATTACATATTTTGTGTGCGCCAACCTGACGTATCGTATAGCTCAGCCAAGAAAAAAGAATCCACACAACACGATTAAAATTTAAAGCATTTAATTCCTTATCGTTTTGGTCGAACTACCACCACTTTTTTTTTTAGAAAAAATAATGAATATTGTTGTACACTAGTTTGGTAATTTAGGTAAAAAGCTACAAGAGGAAAAATTAAAAGCCAATTTAACGGCTGCCAAGTTGGTACAACAAACTTCTTTTTTTCATCTTTACTTATTAAAGTTAGATTCCACAACCTCATAACAACAGTTAAGCATAGCCGCCCACAACTGCCCTCCAAGACAACATCTGACGGACCTAGTAAGGATTTAGGGATTTATCTGAATTATCTTTAACGAAAATCATATTGATTATATATGATTGAAATGATTTTTTTACGTGAATATGCATTATGTATTTCGTATGTATAGGTTTGATGGTAATATTAGCCCAACTCATATTGGATTTAAATGAGTCTAGAAATAAAAGTTATTACACAAATTGAGATTGGAGGAATATTTATTAAATTGTATCTTAGTTTTACATAATAATGTGTTGTGGAGTGAGGAATGCATATTCTTCTTGTTGATAAAACACAAATTAATAGATATTTGTGACGAATATGATACAACACATGTAAAATTTGAATAAATGCTAGTTGATAATTAACGTTTAAAGTATAGGCAAACGTGAGAGTACTTGTTTTTGGTGACTTAATTTGTGTCATTATTCATTACATGTATAAATTATGATTATAGTACTTATAGGAGAGAAATAAAGCAAAAAAAAATTAAAGGACGTAACTTTTCATAACTTTTGCAAAGTATAACATGTTTGATCAAGTGTTTAAATAATTATTTAAATTTTATCACACGAAACAATACATATT